AACAGCAGTGTGTACCATCTACAAGATGCACTGCAGCAACTCACCAATGAAAGCACCTTCCAAGCTGGGAACCGTCCAGAAAGAGTCAATAGATGTGGAGCTGGAAAAAGCAGGGCCGGTCAGGCAGCATCCGAGGAGCTGGGGAGACAATGTTCCGATCCGAGACGTGGGCTTTCCTGCTCCTCGGCTGCTGCCTGGCCTGCTGTGCTTTTCCAGCTCCACATTTAATGACTGTTGTCCTTAGTGGCTCCAAGCGGCTAAAATCCATCTGGAAGCGTTACCTCTCAACGTTTTTTTTTTAAAGGAATCGGACATTGGTTTGGGGGATGCAGACTCTCCTCAACCAAACGCGGAGAGAAACAGGCTTTCAGATTCAGCCCCGGGCCTTCCCCAAGTTCAGTCAGGTGAGCTCGCCAACGTTCAGAACGTGGGCCGTCTCCCTCCGGATGCATCCAGGTGGGATCTTTGAGAGGGCCGCCCGCGACCCCTGCCAAACCCCTGCCCCGCTCAGGGCTCTTACCAAGACGTTGACCGTGCAGCACATCTGGTTCTCCTTGCTCTCGTCGTGCATAATGGTCCGGTAGTCCAGAAGGTTCTCCAGGAGGCTGCTCACTAGCAGAACGAAGGCCTCTCCCGACGTCGCAAGGTACCTGTGCTGCCTGCAGTGCTCCAGCAAGCTGAGGAAAGACCCCCACCCCCCCAACAAAACCGTCACTGCGACGTGGGACTCTCAGGAGGAACCACTCCACCCGCGCACAACCCATCTCCCCACTCCCCTCCCACAATATGGCTGAACAACATGGGGCCGGGTGGGAAACGGGGTGTGCTGCATTGCCAGAGGGGTGGAACGTAGAGCACTGGAACAGGAGGAGGCCATTCGGCCCTGCCCCGCCATTCAATCCGATCCTGGGCTGATCGTCCAACTCAGTCCCGTGTACCCCGCTTTCACCCCTTATCCCTAACAACTCCTGCTTGAAAACATTCAGTGTTTTCACGGTGCACGGAGGCTCAGTGGTTAGCACGGCTGCCTCACGGCGCCAGGGACCCGGGTTTGATTCCACCCTCAGGGTGACTGTCTGTGTAGGGTTTCCTCCGGGTGCTCCGGTTTGCTCCCACAGTCCAAACTTGTCCAGGTTAAGGTGGATTGGCCGTGATAAATTACCCATAGTGCCCAGGGATGTGCAGGTTAGGGTGGATTGGCCATGCTAAATTACCCATAGTGCACAGGGATGTACAGGTTAGGGTGGATTGGCCGTGATAAATTACCCATAGTGCCCAGGGATGAGTAGGTTAGGGTGGATTGGCCATGCTAAATTACCCATCGTGCCCAGGGATGTGCAGGTTAGGGTGGATTGGCCATGCTAAATTACCCATCGTGCCCAGGGATGTGCAGGTTAGGGTGGATTGGCCATGGGGAATGCAGGGCTACAGGGATAGGGCAGGGGAAATGAGTCAGGTTTGGATGCGCTTCGGAGGCTCAGTGCGAACCTGTTGGGCCGATTGGCCTGTTTCCACACAGTAGGGGTTCTATGTTTTGCCCTCAACTGCTTTCTGTGGCAGAGGCTCCCCACTCTCCGGGCGAAGACATTTCTCCTCATCTCAGTCCTTTCCCGTGTCCTTTCAACCGTGACTCCCTGGGTCTGGGCTTCCCCTACCTCCCGGTCATCAGGAACGTCCTTTACCCTGTCTAGCCCCTGCTAGATTTTCTGTGTGATCCCCCCCTCATTTTTTTAAACTCCAGTGAATACAATCCTAACCTGATCCGGTCTCTCTTTATCCATCAGTCTGTGCTATCCCAGGGAATCAGCCTGGGAAACCCTTCGCTGGTCTCCCTCCATCGCCAGAGCCCCCTCCCCTCAGATGAGGAGACCCCCAAACCTCCTACACACACAATACTCCAGGGTGCGGTCTCTCCGTGTCCAACTGCAGAGAGACATCCCTGCTCCTGTTCTCCAATCCTCTCGCCACCAAGGGGCCCAACATCCCATTGACCTTCCTCAGCTCCCTCCCACTGCTCCTGGTGTAGGAGAAACACCCAGCTCTCGTTGTACCTCCCCCTATTTCCCCAATCGATCGCCGCAGGGAAAATAATCCCCCTTTCTGGTTGTGCTCCTAAAGTCGATAGCCTCACGTCGATCCCCATTAAACTGCATCTACCTTCCATTTGCCCGCTCACTCGATGTGCCCCAAACACACTGCGGCATCCCCCCAGGGAGCTCACCCCAACTGTCGCCAGGGCAACCAGGCAAGGCCACAAACTAGGGACCAACCAGATTCACCCACATCCCAATTCAGTGAATTCGACATGTGTACGGCAAGCAGGAAGGGGGTCACGGACCATCACCATGGTCCCAGAGCCCCTATGGTCATGGTGTTTGCTACGCAGCAAGATCCCAGGAACTGCACTGTTTCTCTGCTGGGCTCCTGCAGGCCTGAGGCCTATCCCACTGAGTCATGTTAAGCCTCCATCACAACCATGCAGTGTGTAGACAGTGCCCACTCCCTCAGCACTGACCCTCCGACAGTGCCCGCTCCCTCAGTGCTGACCCTCCGACAGTGCGGCGCTCCCTCAGCACTGACCCTCCGACAGTGCCCGCTCTCTCTGCGCTGACCCTCTGATATTTGGGTTGAAGACTTACATTCTCTCCAGAATGACCTTGTACTGTTCGTCTCCCCGTCCTCCTTCCACCTCTTGGTCCAGTTTTGTGATGAGCTCGTTCTCAAACTGAAAATAAAAATTTACTTCCTATCATTGATGAGCCAAGGCCCAGTTTGTCCCATTTTTTTGATCCACCTTGAGCATCCACAGGAGCGTTCAGGAATCCATTTTGCCTTTCTGTGCCCTGCCCTCATCCAGATTCCTGGGTAAGCGATGCTCCACTGCCTATTCGGCAACATTGGCATCACAGCTGGCTCTAACCATGCCCCTTGCACTGCCTCCAGTCCACGGGGAAGGTGCCCAGGAATGAGGACCCGAAGCTCATTTCCCGTACCCTCGGCCCAAGGTTTGGGCTTGCCCCGGTGCATGCTTGGAAGATTGGGGGCATCGACGAGAAGGTGGAGTGGGCGCACGTTCTCCAAATGAGCCTCTGCGTAGAATGGCGGGGGTGGTGGCGTGTTTGATCCAATGGAGGGCCGCGTTTGGAACCGTCACCCCTAGAGGGCGGCAGAGGCTATTTTCGAGCCGGGTCGTTGGATAGATCTGTGCTGGATGGTTGGCGTTGAGGGTTGTCGCGGAAGCGAATCGGGTCAGCCGTGATGGCTTCCAGCAGGATCAAGGGGCTGAATGGCCTCCTCTTATCTTGTGGTATATCTCCCAGGCGGTGTCAAACCACATGCTCGCAATCGTATCAATTGTGACAGTAGAACGACCCCATTCTCCACATGAAGCTCAACATTAGCCCCGACACTTATGTGCCTCAGGAATGTAATGCTTGCAATGTTATAGTTTGTTGTCAGAAGTCTCTGTTGAATCCTTCAATACCACGTCATGCGCATCTAGTTTACGGTGTTATGGGAAATAACGTGAGCAATGTGGCTTCACTTGGTGGGGGGGCCCACGCCATTCTAGCTCTTAACCTGTACCCTACCCACCCCGTCCTGTTTGACCCCCCCCCCTTCCCTGCTGCTTACCATGTGAAATGAGTAGTTCACACTGTATTCACACTGCATCATGTCGAAGAAGATGGGGATGGTAGCTCTTCGGAGCTCGGGCTCGGGAACCAGGGTCATCTCCAGGATCGGTCCAACCATTCCCGGGATAAACTTGATCTTGTGGGGACCTGGAAGGCAGCGCAGAGTCCCATCAGCAAACACACGCTCTGGAAGCAGGAATGCTGAATTCTGAGCGCGGAATTCCCCGGTGGAATTCTGAGGGGCGGGTGACAAGATAGGATTTGAACAGTTTGGAACGGAAGCTCGCTCTGCCATTAACACCTACAGTGGGTCCATGCTTTGTCACCTCTCTATGACCATTGACACTCCCTCAGTCTGTACCATGTGTGGTCGCTGATCCCCCTCGCCCTTTGACCTTACCCAGAACCCTTCCCATCTGTTCCACAGAACCGTCCCGCCTTTTATCAACAACGTCCCCTTTTTTTTTCACCCCACAACCACCACCCACTTCAGTCCCAAAGAAAACTCAGCCAGGGCCCGAAAAGTCAATTGCATTTCTCTCTCCATGGTTGTCCCCTGACCTGCTGAGTTTCTCCACCACTCTCAGAGTCATGCGGCATGGAAACAGGCCCTTCAGACCAACCCGTCCATGCCGACCAGATATCCTAAACTAAATCTAGTCCCATTTGCCAGCATTTGGCCCCTATCCCTCTAAACCCTTCCTATTCCTGTACCCAGCCAGATGCCTTTTAAATGCTGTAATTGTACCAGCCTCCACCACTTCCTCTGGCAGCTCGTTCCATACACCCACCACCCTCTGTGTGAAAAAGTTACCCCTCAGGTCCCTTTCAAATCTTTCCCCTCTCATCTTAAACCTATGCCCCTCTAGTTTTGGACTCCCCCACCCTGTGGGGAAAGACCTTGGCTATTCACCCTATCCATGCCCCTCATGATTTTATAAACCTCTATAAGGTCACCCCCTCAGCCTCCAACACTCCAGGGAAAATAGTCCCAGCCTATTCAGCCTCTCCCTGTAGCTCAAACCCTCCAACCCTGGCAAAATCTTTTCTGAACCCATTCAAGTTTAACAACATCCTTCCTATAGCAGGGAGACCAGAACTGAACGCAGTATTCCAAAAGTGGCCCTAACCAATGTCCTGTACAGCTGCAACATGACCCTCCCAACTCCTATACTCAATGCACTGACCAATAAAGGCAAGCGTACCAAACACCTTCTTCACCGCCCTGTCTACCTGCAACTCCACTTTCAAGGAATTATGAACCCGCATCCCAAGGTCTCTTAGTTCAGCAACACTCCCCAGGACCTTACCATTAAGTGTATAAGTCCTGCCCTGATATGCCTTTCCAAAATGCAACACCATATTTATCGAAATTAAACTCCACCTGCTACTCCTTGACCCATCTGATCCAGATCCTGTTGTACTCTGAGATAACCAGTCCCCTACATCACCAATTTTGGCATCATCTACAAACAGGGTGGCATGGTGGCGCAGTGGTTAGCATGGCTGTCTCACTGCGCCAGGGACACGGGTTCAATTCCACCCTCGGGCGACTGTCTGTATGGAGTGTGTGCATTCTCTCCGTGTCTGTGTGGGTTTCCTCTGGGTGCTCCGGTTTCCTCCCACAGTCCACAGGGTGGATTGGCCGTGCTAAATTACCCATAGTGCCCAGGGATGTGCGAGATAGGGTGGATTGGCCATGGGAAATTGTCCTGTAGTGTTCAGGGATTTGTACATTGGGTGGGTTATAGGAGGATGGGTCTTGGGGGGGTGCTCTAAGGGTCAGTGTGAACTTGTTGGGCCGAAGGGCCTGTTTCCACACTGTAGGGATTCTATTCTATTCTAAACTTTCTAACCGCACCTCCTACGTTCACATTCACCTTGTTTATACAAACGACCTGCTTTAACGTGGGATGGGCTGCTGTTTCGGGGTAAGACGCCAAAGATTACGCACACCCCCTTGCGCTCCACTGCGTTCGAAAGATTCAAACTGGTCGTGATTTCGATTCACCAAGACTCGACCTCAAAACAAAGTCATTCCGCTATACCTCCTTTGGGCTCACTCCCAATTCAGATCATCCCTCTGTGAATAGAATCCTATGCCATGCCTATCCCGGGTTTTCCGATCCGTCCTTTGACCAAACCCAATCCCGTTTTCTCCCGGCCGTGTTGAGTTCCAATCAGCCTGCCCCACCTCCCTACCTGGTATGGTGCGTACGGAGAGGAGTTGGGACAGCTTATTAAAAAAAATGTTATGTTTTCTTGCAAGGGAAACTAAACTGGAACGGGAAATTTTCCTTTTCAGAAACAGGGCGATTGGAGAGAGCACATCTGGATTACAGTGTGCGGTGCCGGCCTCCTCATTTAAGGAAGGATGTTAATGCATTGAAATAATTCAGGGAAGGTTTATCAGAGCTATTGTGTAATGAGGGAAGATTGGGCAGGGCTAGTTTGGTAGGGGTTTAGAAAAGTGAGAGGTAGCTTATCGAGTTATAGAGCTGTACAGCCTGGAAACGGACCCTACGGTCCAACTTGTTCATGCCGACCCGATATCCTAAATTAATCTCCTCACCCTTTGCCAGCATTTGGCCCATCTCTCTCTAAACCCTTCCTACTCACGTACCCATCCATAAATGTTGTCATTGTACCAGCCTCCACCACTTCCTCTGCCAGCTCGTTCCATACACGCACCACCCTCTGAAAAAGTTGCCCCTCTTGCCCCTTTTAAATCTTACCCCTCTCTCACCTTAAACCTATGTTCCTCTAGTTTTGGACTCCCCTACCCTGGGGGAGTCTATTCACCCTATCCATGCCCTTCATGATTTTGTAAACCTCTGTAGGGTCCCCCCCCTCAGCCTCCAACGCTCCAGGGAAAATAGCCCCAGCCTCTCCCTGTAGCTCAAACCCTCCAACGTCCCTTGTGAATCTTTTCACAAGTTGAACAACATCCTTCCTGCAGTTGATGGAAACGCAGAAAGATTCGGAGGGAACGTGACTCGGTGAATGGGGAAGAGGGTTTTTACCTCAAGTGGGAGGGGTCGCAGTTTAAAACTTAAGTGTCACCTGTTCGAGGCTGAGACGGGGAGAGAGAGAGGAAGGCGACTGAGCAAATCTTGAGATTTTCTTCCACCAAACACAGCGGAAGCAGAGAGTTTGGACGTTTGTTTAAGGCCGAGGTAGAGATTTTATTTTTCAATCGGGAAGGGAATAATTGGGGTGGGGTCAAGGCAGGAATTGAGGAAGATCAGATCAACATTGGAATGGAGTAGCAGGATCGTTCGGCCGAATGGACACCTGTTTTGTGATTTCCTATGCAGGAAGGCAGCAGGTACATGGGAACACCACCCTCTGCAAGTTCACCCTCCGAGCCCCTCACTGTCCCCGACTTGGAAATATATCGGCCGTTCCTTCAGCGTCGCTGGGTCAGAATCCTGGAACTCCCTCCCTGAGGGCACCGTGTGGGGGTCCCTACACCACATGGAATGCAGCGGCTCACCCCCACCTTCTCAAGGGGGCGCAGTTCACTCGCCGGGCCCTCCCTTCGAAGGGTGTATGGTACAGATTGAAACTTAAGACTTACCGAGATTGTACCACATATCCCGAACCTGGAAACCAATTGTTTTTCGCATGTCCCCGTATCTACAGGGAGAGACCGAGAGAATAAACATTACAGCACAGCGTTAAGAACACAGTAAAGCTCCGTCTACACTGTCCCCCCATCAAACACACCCAGGACAGGGACAGCATGGGGTTAGATACAGAGTAAAGCTCCCTCTACACTGTCCCCCATCAAACACTCCCAGGACAGGGACAGCACGGGGTTAGATACAGAGTAAAGCTCCCTCTACGCTGTCGCCCCATCAAACACTCCCAGGACAGGGGCAGCACGGGGTTAGATACAGAGTAAAGCTCCCTCTACATTGTCGCCCCATCACACACTCCCAGGACAGGGACAGCACGGGGTTAGATACAGAATGACAAATGACAAACAGTTTGACATGGAGTTGTCTTGGAGTCTGCGTGTGACCCCTATGTGACCCTCGCGAGCCGTGACGGATGCACGGAGATATCAGCCAATGCCGAGCCGGTCCTTACTTGTCAACAATCTTCTGGCGCTTTTCCACGGAGAAGGTTTCCAGCTGCAGCGGGTCCTGGACCAGGAACGCCACTCCCAGGTGGAAGTAATTGTTCCAGAGCTGCAAGGCGAAGGGCGGGGAAATTATTCGATTCCGGAGACTGGGATAGTCACCCCGTCTGCCCGCGAAGGCTGCGTGGTGAGCCGGCAGGGACGCGAAGGGCCGAGTGGCCTGGATTTGACGGGAGACGTCCGAGATCCCGGGGGAGCGCGGTCGGAGTTTGGAGTCTGAAGGGGATTGAGCCGAGCGGGTACAAACGGAGCATGGTGTGTGGGGAAACGGTTTATCTAAGTATGTTATTACCTTATGTATTATCTTATTGTTTCAATTATTTCCCAATGATATTATCTGATAATTTATCTAATCTGCAGATAAATAATCTGGCCCAGGTTCCTGAGGGCGATCTACGTGTATAATGCAGCTTTAAGAGCAGGTCAGAGACGAGGGACCCTGCTGTGAGGAACTCCCCTCCTGAATCCCTAGAGCCTATCCACTGAGGACTAGGCACAAGCTTGGGATGTTGTAGAATGCTCCTCACTGGCCTGGATGAAATGAATGTGGAATCTCTAGTGCAGGGCTGCGTAACGGCCATTGCAATTGCAGTAAATTCTGCTGCGGTAAGCGCTACCGATTGAATTGGGGGGGCGGGGGGCGTAGTTCGATGAGTTAGAGTTATAACCATCTGGTTAAAATATTCCCGCCACCTGCCGAAACCTTGTTTCCAAGTCCAAATTCCCACGGGGGAGGTGTATGGCGATGCAGGGCGGAAAAGAACGTTCGGAAATGGAGGCGTTGCTGTAATGTGCATCAACGCGGCAGTCACCTTTTGCGCACAGCAAGATCCCAGCAACACGACGGCGAGCAGAGGTGTGCCGTCTCGCACGACGGACACTGGCGGTGGAAATGTCGTTGGGATAGCCTGCATTGAGATAGCACCGGGGAGAGGTGGGAGGGAGGATGACCCGCCAATCAAAGCGCCCCGCAAACTTCTTTGCTTGGGGGCAAAATCCTCTTACCACCCCCCCACAACCGAGAGACCGCGACTCACCTGCAGCTCGAAGTTCGCCGGGTCGAGGAAGCGTTTAGTGAGCACGACTGAAAACTGAGTGATGGCGCGGAGGAAGACCCTGCGGGGAGACGGGGAATAAGAAACGTCACCCCAGGCACGTCTTCAGCCTCGCCGCAAACAAGAAAAGGGGGCGCTTGGGCCTTTAGAAACCCCTTGAGGAAGCTGGGAGACCTGTCTCGCAACCATCAGGACATATGCAAGAATGCCAAATTCCAAACCAACCCAAGTCGATGCTGATTGGGCGAGGTATTGCTGCGGAGAGGGTTCCGGGTCCCCCCCATCCCCCGACCGGCTGGGCGTGGCTTCAAGTCAGCCATATTCCTCTGAGCTGGGTTTCTCTCAGAGCTGATGGCCTGCTCGGGGATCATTGGGCAAATATCACCCAGACAATTTGCCTTTGGGATTTGCGAACGCCATTCGAAGGAAATGGCCATCGGAGCGTGGGGTTGGTGGACAACACCTTCCCAGTTTTCTCCCGCGTTGGTTTGCGTGGGGTCTGGAAAGAGTTCCTGGGCGGGTCAGAGAGGCCAGGGGGCAGCCAAGGGTGGTGGGGGGGGGGGTGGGGGGGGGGCGCAAGGAACCTCAGCGGTCCCAGACCGACGTTCCATGATCGGACTCCACACCCTCTCCCTTCTCCCTTGGGATCATCCCGACCTGTTCTGCACCATGTTCATCACCATCCAGTCCTTTGGATACACTGCCTTCCCGATGAGATCCTTAAACATGATAAATGTCTCCATCAGGAAGTCCTGGGGAGAAGAACGAAATGGAGGTCAAAGGATGAAGGAAAAGGGGTGGCCACTTAGGCATCGACGCTCCGAAAATCACTGAGGAGATTCGGAGTCAGAAACGTTTAGGAATTAGAACTACGCAAGCTGTGAAATGGGGATCACTCGTTGTGCCTCCTGAGCAGACTCCCTCTGTTGGTACAAGCGCATTTGCCAGCTACGAGTCGACAAACCACGTAGCGTGATTTTCGACGCAATTAGGAGCACCCCCCCCAGTCAGTCAGTCCCTTCACCCGCCCAGGAACCGAACAAGAAGCCCCCTTCACGTCAGTGCCACCTCCAGACATTCGTGTCAGATGACACATATAAAAAGAAAAGACTTGGGAAGGAAATGCACCGTCTTTGCCGGGCCTGGGTCCTACTCCAGACCCCGCAGCGATGTAGTGGGCTCTTAATCATCTTCTGAAATGGCCCAGGATGCCACTCAAGAAGGGAAGTGGTGGTTTGGTGGGGGGAGGGGTGGAAACGGGCATCAGAGAGAAGCCCTCTGCAAGGAGGGCACACGTCCTTGAGAGAAGAATAACATGGATTTCTATAGCACCCTTTCACCTCCAGGGTGCAGTTGGAGACCCCCCCTCTGCCAGCAACCTGGGCATAGCAAGATTCCACAAAGTGTAGAGGAGCTCACCGAGGACAGCAGGGACACCTCTGCCAACGTCCTACCCACTCGGGACATCCTCCTAAGTGCCCTTGGAAGGATGAGGTTCCTCGAATCAAGTGCCTAACTCCCTTGTTGAGGGGAGGGGGGTTCATTTTCTTGAAAAAGGTGAAATGAGGTTAGGAAGCAGGCAGAGCCGCAACAGGGGAGTCCTAAAAGTTGAACTCTGTCAAATTTGAACCCCTGCCCTTATCAGTGGCCAATTCTGGCTCCATGGAGGGGTCAGAGATGGGCCAAATGCCATCCGCCTGCTTTATTGAGGCATGATGGGTAGAGGGGGGTGAGGTCATTACTTACAATGATGTCATGGCGCGTCTTGAAGATGTCGATGTAGTGCGCGTAATGGTGGTTGTCCATCTGGTTCAAAATGGCGATCATGCAGGCGACAAACGGGCCCTGTAGGGGGATCCAGAGGGGGAGGTCAACCTCACGGAAACTCCGACGGTGGATCCGGGGAAAGGCACTTCCCGGTGACCAGTGACGGAAGGTCGGGGCGGGGGGAGGAGGTGGGATGGTTCCGTCTCCCGTCCGTTTGCGTTACCCTCCCCCTACCCCCCCCAACCCACCCTGCCCAGTGTCGGCCATATTGGCGAGGGGGGCAAACTGGGTGGTGTCGAACACAAATCCGACTTGCAGGGGAACTAGACCTGTGGGGGGGGGGGGG